TCAGCCTTCCATCCTTCCGAGGTGGGTAAAATGAGGACCCAGATTGTTGGGGGCAATATGCTGACTCTCTGTAAACCGCTTAGAGAGGGCTGAACGCCCTATGAAGCGGTATATAAGTCTACTGCTATTGCTATATTGTAATATATATTTTTCTGGCTGCAAAGTTTTGAACAGAAATTACAGATCACAATATTCAAAAGAAGAAATGAACCTCTAATTTAGAATAGAATAGTGTTAGATACCCCCCCCCCACTGGCAGAGGTTTCCACTAAGGTCCTCTGTTCCGGCGCGAACAGAGGTTTAATCCCATTGGTCAAAAGATCTGACAAATCCCTTTAAAGGGGGATGCTGTCAGACCCTTCCTCAGCTGGATGTTTACTTGACTTGCAATAAAGAGCTGTTGTGTGCCTTCCTTTAACCGATCTAACAAATAGAATAGAATTCTGTATTGGCCAAGTGTGATTGGACACACAAGGAATTTACACACAAACTTTAAATTCAGCTAGTTTTTTCTTATTCCTGCCTAGGAAATTATTATATTGACATGGTGGGTGGGCTGGAACATCAGCTGTGAGAAGCATGGAACAAGGACAATGTAAAACTAATAACAATTTTAACCACAATTATCCCAAGCACTTAATGAATGGCTATTGCCCCATCTTTACAAGAGAGATAATTAGAACAAGGTGTTGGCCCCTTGGACTGCCTATACATAATTTTCTCACTTAAAATAATAGTCATTATCTTCTTCTTAAAAGGTATTAATTAAAATCCCAAGATATTTATTCTTTGGATCAACTGTTTCTTGTCTAGACTGATTGGTGTATTAAAAAAACTTGACACTTATCAGAGAAAATAAAATGCTTTAAGAAGAAGAGAAACTGGGTGCATTAGAGAGAGCCATTTTAACTCAAATGACTACATGACACTATATAAAGAAATGGAATGGCAGTGATACTCTAAAACATCACAATGCCTGGGAAATTCTGGGAGTTGAAGTCCATAAATCTTAAAGCTACTGAGATTTTAAAACACTGTTTAAAGCAGCCCCCGCAATCCCCGGTCTGAAAACTAACATCAGTGTGCCACGTGCCAGAAACTGGGCCATGCAAACTAGCAAAACCCCATCTGTGGGATGTAAGCAGCATGCAAAACCATGCCCCTTCCAGTCCACGAAAAAATCTCTCTCCACAGAAGTGGTCCTTGGTGCCCAAAGGTTTGGAAGCCATTGCTTTAAAGGACATATCTAATTGCATGCTTAAAGGTAAAGGTAAAAGTTCCCCCGCACATGCATGCTAGTTGTTTCCATCTCTAGGGGGGTGTTCATCTCTGTTTCTAAGCCAAAGAGCCAGCACTGCCTGAAGACGTCTCTGTGGTCATGTGTCGAGTATAACTAAACACTGAAGGTGCATGGAACATTGTTACCTTTTAACCAAAGGTGGTCCCTATTTTTCTACTTGCATTTTTACATGCTTTTGAACTGCTAGGTTGGCAGAAGCTGGGACAAGTAACAGGCATTCACTCTGTTATGTGTTGCTAGGGATTCGAACAGCTGAACTTCCATCCTTCTGATTGACACGCTCAGCATCTTAGCCACTAAGCCACTGCATCCCTAAGTGTACGCTTAGCTATAACCAAATGCACAATAGGATTATAGCAAAGAATTAGAAGGTATTATCAGTGTAATATAAGTGTATACATATACTAGAGATGTACCAGTGAAAAACATCAAGTAATTCAATGATAAATTTTAAGAGGCAATAAATGCAACAGCTTAAAAGGATTGGTTGGTATTGCTAGTAACTAAAATAACTTGGAAAAAATGGAGGAACTTGGAACTGAAGAAAGATTTGAATTAAGTAAATTCAGTAAGGCAAGAGTTAATAAAGGCATAAAAATATAAATAAATAATTAAAATAGAATTTTGTGAAGAAGAAAATTGTTCATTCCCAACATTTGCTTCAAGCAACGTGCTCTGCCCCAGCCTTCGCAGAAGCAAGAAACAGACTCCTCGCAAAGAAAAAACCCTCTTTTTTTTACACCTTGTGAATTAACTGCATTCACCCACAAAGTCCAGGCAAGAGTCCTGCAAGGAGTTAACTGAAGCAATATGCTTTATCAGCTTGTTACGATAATTGCAAGGCCGTGAGCTCCCAGCCAAAAGGTTGCAAGTTAAGTCAGTTCAAATAAACAAACCTTAGTTCTGACAAGACAGTCTTTGTCGCAGGAAATACAATGAGAAAAATCTCCAGAAATGCGAACAGTTGTCTACTACAACCACCACTCCCCTTTCTTCCTATTTATTCCCAAGCCAGGGAGGGGGTCATTCAGCATCCACATTTGTTTTGCTTCCCAAGTTGACCCCTTGTCCTCCGTTGTTCACCTCTCCTATCTGCTCTACGCATAGGCACATCTGGAACAGACCCCAGCTGTTCCTCTCCTCACTCATCGCTGACTCTCTGGTGGCTGGGAAATGCTGGATGGCCCTGGTTCTATCACTGAGTCCAATGCTGAGCATCCATCGGAGCCTTTCCCAGGCTCCAGAACTGGCCCAAGTTCTTCCCTAACCTCCTCACTATTTGAGTCTGCCACAAGCTCTGCTGACAGCTGGTGAGCCACAACACAACATACATGCAAACTCTATACCTGAACAACATCAGAATCAAACTGGCTGCATGTAAGAGCAGAAAAGTACAATCCAGCTAGTGAAAACACTTCCAGATACACATTATAGAACAGTAAGTGAATTATTCCTATTAAATATAGGATTTGATTTAAGAAATTCAAGCAAATAAAACTTATCAGAATAATAGGAACAATATCAGAAACAGATATGGCATGCTTAATGTACAAACACACAAAAGGACCTGAAGAACAATGGGGAGAGATAAGAGACAAGCACTAGATATTGCAAAAACAACCTCTCAGATCCATGGGTGGTATGAAAACTGACTGCTTTCTTGAAGCAATTTCCAAGATGCAGAAGATTCTACATCAATCTTTTGAACTCCATAGTGGCCAGGAGTTGATTTAACTCTGCATGAAGGCTTAGAAACATTGGTGTCAACTACCTGGGCTGCTTTTGTGTTCCACAGTAAATTTCAAAAATACTCTCATCAGAAAGAATGGGAAATTCTCCAAACACATTGGATTCTTGAGGGACCTGGCTTGAACCATTTTAATTAGAGATTTTTTTTACACTCCAATGTAAACCTGACAGTTCTTCCTTCAGATTACTGACACTAGATGAGCAGAATACAAATTTTCTGGATGAGATTGAGAAATGCACTGGTGAGAAACTAGTGCAGGTATTCCTGTATCATTGTACATTGTAATTCCTGTCCTTGTCTTTTTGCAGATAAACTATAGCAACTTACAGTATTACTACAGTGTCCCAACCAACCAAATGTGACTGGGGTGGAATATCTGGTTAGTGTGATTGCACACCTATGGCTACAGCTATGGTTTTACTATCCTTAACTCCTAGTTTATGGTGTCATGAAGAAGTGTGGTAGTTGGAGCTAAAAGAACTGAATTCTTCACTTCTCTCATCCAACAATTATACAGGCATTGAAGTCAGGATTTTCAGCTTTCAGGGATTATACTGAAGAATCAATAGTTGTATAGGTAAAAGAATCCCCATGCACATATGTGCTACACATTCCCGCCTCTAGGGGGCGGTGCTCATTTCTGTTTCAAAGCCAAAGAGCCAGCGCTGTCCAAAAACATCTCCGTGATCATGTGGCTGGCATGACTCAATGCCGAAGGCACACGGAGTGCTGTTACCTTCCCACCAAAGGTGGTTCCTATTTTTCTATTTGCATTTTTACATGCTTTCAAACTGCTAGGTTGTCAAAAGCTGGGACAAGTAATGGGAGTTCACTCTGTTACGCGGTGCTAGGGATTCAAACTATTGAACTACCGACCTTCTGATTGACAAGCTTAGCCATTAAACCATTGTGTCCCTTAATAGTTTTATACTATTTGCAAATTGATAGATATAATATTATGGACTACTTAACTCTTGGAGTGTTTTGCTCTGTCTTTTTCCAAAAAGGAGTATCCAGGCATTTGTAGGATAACTACTATTTAGATCACCTACTATTTGTTCTTTTTTTAAAAAAACACTTCATTTCAATTTTTATATTTAATATTTTAGGCATTGATGGTTTTATTATGATAGCTTTATTTAAGGTTGTGTTTTATTGCTCTTTTGTAAACTGGGCAACTCTGGGAGGAACAGTGGTATAGAAATTAAACAAATCAGTAATCATAATCACTTATGACCACATAGTCATTCTTAATGCATCGTGTAAATCAAAATATAGCATCTGAATTATTATTATTAGTTTTGCACTAATCAGTAATAATACTTATTGGCCATTAATCTTATGCAGAAGGTGCTATCACCTTTAACACACTGGCTTCCGCAGAGGGAAATGTATTATTTATTTCAGCAATTCATGTATAAAACAGATATATATTGCCTTTCAGCAAAACTTTCAGTTAAAATGCATAAAACTTTGGATGGTATCCAATAGCACCTTCTGCAATAGAATGCATCTCCAGGGAATATGGTTTTACTTTTCTCTCCCACTCTTTGCAATGACCTTCCCTCACTCCCAAAAATGTTTAGGAAAATTTTCTGGAGTGAATTTGGGGTGGAGTCAGAGAAAAAAGTACAGCTGAAATACATATGTTGTAGAAGGAAATACTTTTTCACATACCATTAAAAAATCTCTGGCACAAGCAATATTATTATCTACAGAGAAGGGAAAAAATTAAATTACACTTTAAAATGAATTTCACTGATTCACACTTCCTGAACCATTACATAATTTGAAATGGAATTGGCTAATGATTTTGATATTTCGTTGAACCTTGCAATATAACCCTCCGATTAAAAAGTATGCACAAAAATGTGTTCACACATAAAAGAGTATATTTAAACTACAATAGAACAAAAATGTATTATATTCTTATAAAAGTGTTGCTCACCATGACTATTAAAAGAAATGTACATGAATTGTAATACAAAATTTTGAATTCACTTTTTTTAAAAAAGACCCCTTAAAATCAATACCAATTGGATGCATTGTAGCAGAGTTTTTCTTTTTCTGAGAAACCGAAGCAATTTTTTAAACCTATTTTTACAGAAATAAATCAGTACAGTAAAAATATCAATGTCGAAAAGCATGGCAAAGTGCTAAACTATGATTTGATCTTCCTGTTATAAACAATATTATGGGAACAATGCTGCCTAAAATATTATAAGCCTTAAATATTTCCAACTAAAGTCATTTAGCATAAGAATGTATTTCTTACAAATTTTGCAAATGGATTCTAATATGCTGCATTTATTATTTTTTTTAAAAACAAATTAAAAATCAGATATTGTCTCTAAAATGACCAGAAAAACCAATAAACTTTCCCTAACATTTATAATATCAGCTACTCTGATTTAGTGTTATTTATTAGAATTTTTAAAAAAAATCTCCACATTTTTTACTTCTTGCAAACTCCAGGCTTTTACCAAAAATAAATCATTGTTTAACAAGGTCAAGAGAAATAAAGACTAAGTTGGGTTCAAAGTTTGCAGGTCTTTGCATTTATCAGGTAGAAATATGCTACATTTCCCTATTTCATAAAATTCCCTTTTATTTAAAAAAAAACCCCTATTAATCTTTGTTCTTTTAAATCTTGATTTCGCAAATGAAAGAAATGAATGATGGCACTGAATCAAGAAATTATTTGAAGGTATTTTTTGCTTTGTCTTTTAAGGACCACCAGGACTCTCACATACGTTTTCAATTTCTTTAAGGATGTGATTATCTTGTGGGCATGTTTCACTCCTACAGCCTGTACGGAAGATCAGTCAGCATAGGGTACCCTTTTCATGGAGGGATCAAGATAAGTTCAGCCTTTCACTATATCTGCTGTGTTAACTGTCACTGTTTTGTTCTATGATTGTCCACTTAGCTTTAAATTCCAACGTTGCAGATCTTCCCTTTTTCCACTCACAGTTATTATACTAAACTTAGCTGTTTTTTCTGCTCTAACAGACTAATACTGTTCAGAAGCAAAAATAACACGTTTTAATCTTATCTAGTATTTTATTTTTCCCTCACTGATTCTTCATATATACTATATGGTCTACTTGTCAAAACAAATTTCACTCCAAGAATGTGTTACAAGAAAAAAAATTACATAAGAAAATAGCATATGACTTTTCTTTGATTCTGAGGAATTCTTATGGAGTTTAATAGAGTCCACTTTCTTTGGGCTGAACATAGATAATAGAAGCTCTGTTATCTCTTTCTCACCTTGTAGGTAAGGTAGGCGATCATATCTATACAGAATGCAGATTTTTTCACCTTCATTTGTGGAAATACTGGTTGTGTGTGTGTGTGTGTGTGTGTGTGTGCGTGCGCGCGCATGTGTGTAAGCGAGTATGAGTGTGTGTATATAAAAATAATATAAATGTTTGTTATTAAAATTTAAATGATTTTCTTATGTTTATACATTCAGTTTTAAATGTTGCCATTCATTATTTATAGAATATTCACATTTCCTCCATGTAAATAAAATAAAATCCAACTACATGGTTTATTCCAATATTTCCTATCCCACAAAAGCATGTGTTGGCAGGTAGCAAGGTACATAGCCAACTCTTTTAAGAAGAATGTCAGGAACACTTGTATGTTGAGTCCAGAGGCAATGGTACTCATTTATACTCTGTAATCCACCCGCCCTTTTTTCTTAGCCTCTGGATGCCATACTCCTGATATAAATTTGGTTTCTAACCAAATGGGAGCTCTGGATGCAACTTTATTTCACATTTATCAAACATAACACTGTTCCAGATCCTTTTAACAAGGCAGCATGAAAAAAACTTGAATGCAGCTATTTTATTCTCCTTTCTCTTAAATTAAAAAGTGTTGTATTATTGCCTATGTATCACCATAGAAAACCTCTGGGGCAAAAATATAATATTGGATTTGGGATTGATGTATATTCAGGCAATGAATTTGACCCTCTTCCTCCTGCTGCTTCCCATTCCAAACTGCACTAGAAGTTCCCTATCACTATGGAACAGATTTGGAGGGGTCTGAAGATCAGTGACGTGCAGTGAGGTTTATGGCTGGTGAGGCACTGACACAGGGGTTTCAAATTTTTTTAGACTTGTGGACTTCAACTCCCAGAATTCCACAGCCAGGTATGCTAAGTTCCAATTTAAAGTGACAGCAATTTTTTTCTCCTTTGCGAAAAAGTTTCCTTCATTCTTTTTCTTCTAGCTCCCCCTCTCCCCCCTCCCCCCTCTCAAGATCTATAGAAATAATGCAGTTAGGAAGGAAAGTAAAATTGTAAAATTAGGTTTTGAGTCAGAAAAGTTTAGGATCAATGAATTAAATGACTGCTTGCTTAGAATTACATTTTTAAAAGTAATTCCAAAAAAGTTCTAAGTTCTCTGTTGCAAAACACTATTGTAAAGATAATTTCTATTATCTTCTGTGAAGCAGTAGATGGTATGAAAAACATGTGAGCAAAGGGGCATTTTCCTTTAAATGTAATGTGTCAGTACACATTCCCAGTGGTTCTGTTGCAAATAATGGCAAATGTTGATAGGCTTCTTCAAATTGCAGCAACTGATGTCAGCCAATTATTTTTATTATAATATTTGTCCAAAAAGACATCTAAATATTTATTTGATATACTGTATTTACTCATTATCCATCACTTCAGTCACCCACTATTTATCAAAATAGGATGTAAATAAATAAAACAATTATTAAAAGTTATCTCTTGAGTTGTTATAGATTTGTTTAGAATTTGTGTTCTTGAGTGAATTTTTAATTTCTGAGACTTTAATGCATGTTTTCATACATTCATGACTCACAAATTAAGAAATGATGACGCTTTTATATTTCCCTGTCAATTTTACATTTAGAATATAATTCCTATAAGAGGGACACATAAGTAAGGCAGAATATCAACAAATAGTCTGAGCCTATAAAGATGAAGTGAGGAAAGCTAAGGATCACTTACTTTATATTACTTTACAAAAGTAAAAAATAACAAAAAAAAGCTTCTTCCAATATGTTAAAAACAAGAAAAAAAGTCAAGGAAACAATTGGTCCATTGCTGGGAAAAAGTGGCAAGAAAGTGACAAGAAACAGCAGAAGTACTTAACTCATTTTTTTTGCATCTGTCTGCACAAAGAGAAAAAACAGTCCAACCTATCAAAAAACAGCACCACAAAAAAACAGGCTATGAACACACGTTAAAATAGGGAAGAAAATGGTAAGTGAGCACCTTTCTACCCTANACATGCTGTTGGGGGATTTTTGTTGAAGTCTGAAAGTGAGCATCCTCTGTATTTATAAATGCTCTTTGACAAAACTCTGGTTTGAT